TCGCATAACCGGCCCGGCTGTACGTGGAAGGGATAATTAACCGACACAACCGTAGCTCCCTACGCTGCCTAACGGAAGGACGAAGAAAGGTTACCATGGCTACGTGGATGGGATCCGGCCAATCCTGGTGTACCTCGTAGGCGTGGTCTGTGCATTGGCCCCCCGATGCCATCTATCGCCGTCTCTTTTTCTCGCCCGTACCCCTACGTGAAGACAGAACGGTGGTGGAAGTAGCGAGACAGAGAGGTAGAGGTAGGTCTAGAGCGCCAGCGAGACAGCCCGGTTGCAACGGGCGAGTACAAACGTATCATGCTGGGTAGGGCCGGTGCCGAGATGCCGGCTTGTAAACGAAACCAGTTTGCTATCCGATACGATCCAGGCAACAGCGGCCTCGCGTGATATCCCCACGACGTGGAAGAGCGTCAGCGCGCCTGGCCTGGCCTAGTGGGTGTTACCAGAGCGACCTGGAGAACGGTCGCGCGAACCCACCTGACAGCGATCTTCAATGAGAGCATCAGTTGCTCCTTATAACGTGATCCTGCTCCAATTCGCGACGTTGCCACGTGCCGCATTTTGGGAATTGTTTCGAAATTAAGTCAGTGACGTGTTGCGCGCGAGAGAGAAAGAGGAGAATTAAAGGAGAGAGAGTGGGCTCGCCGATGTGGGCTTTAGAATTTAATATCTAGAAATAGAGGTGATCGTTCCTCGGGCAATCTCTCTCATCTCGTAAAAAAGATTAAAACTCTTTGTGTCTCTCTCCAGATGTCATAACGCTTGCTCTATTTGTACTTTTAAATATAGAAAACTATTCTAGAATTCTGTGGTGTCGATAGTGAAGTGGATAATCATCCAGTGACCGTCACGTCTGTTTTTAATGAACGAACGTATCGCGCGTGACTCCGACGAATCATGAGAAGGTCCAAGAGTAAGCATAAATCGGAGCCGCGTGTTTCCTGAACCGCGACAAATCCGAGTGACATCGGTGACTCCGAGAAGATAGGCCAGGCCAAAATTGGTGTATCGCGAGAGGATCACCGTTTCGGGAAGATGTCCGCCGCTGGGACCACGCCGCCAAACGCGAACGGTCCGCTTGTACCTTGTCCGTATCTCGCTTTACCAACTCTGTCTTTCTCCGTCAGCCAAGTAGCAACGGTCTGCGAGACCTTAGAGGAAAGCGGCGACATCGAGAGGTTGGCCAGGTTCCTATGGAGTCTTCCAGTCGCTCATCCGAATATCCAGGAATTAAATCAGAGCGAGGCTGTCCTCAGGGCGCGTGCCATCGTCGCGTTTCACTCGGGACACTATCGGGAACTTTACGCTATACTGGAGAGGCACAAATTCACCAAGGACTCCCACGGTAAGCTGCAAGCCATGTGGCTCGAGGCGCATTACCAGGAGGCCGAAAAACTCCGCGGCCGGCCGCTAGGTCCTGTGGACAAGTATCGCGTAAGAAAGAAATTCCCGTTACCGAGGACAATCTGGGACGGCGAGCAAAAGACGCACTGCTTCAAAGAGAGAACCAGGTCGCTGCTCCGAGAATGGTACCTCCAGGATCCTTATCCGAATCCAGGAAAGAAGAGAGAGCTGGCCGCCGCGACGGGACTCACGCCGACGCAGGTTGGAAATTGGTTCAAGAATAGAAGGCAGAGGGATCGCGCTGCTGCAGCGAAAAACAGGTGTGTCGTAAATCTAATCCTATTCTCCTCGTTTCTTTTCTTAACCAGAAAGGATAAATTGGCTAAGACGACTGATAATCGCGCCCAGACGACAAAAATCACGTTTCCGTCGCGATCCCGGCGATCAAACGGCTTGTCAAAACCTGTTCAAATCGCGTTCATATCGTTTCTCCGCAAAATAAATAGATCGACACGCAGATCCTAATGAAGGATGCTTTATATAAATGCAGTGAAACATTATACATATTTATCCGATCTTTCGTGAATTAATAGAATTGCTATATTTGTTTTTCGGAACAATGAAATATTTCGTATATGCTACTTGATGTCTGGTATTCGCACGTTTAAATCTCCTTCAATATCATTAAACACGCGTTAAATCAACAAATAATTCTCGCGAATTACACATGCGCTCTTACGAAATCATCAGTTCGTTAATAACACAAACCATTGAGTCCGCGATACCGAAACTGCTAATCATTACAATAATTATTTAACGTTAAAAATATTTATATATGATTTCTAGAATGAATAAATATTAAACGAAAACTGCCAAAATGTCGTTAATCTTGAAAAAACTAAATTTCATATATTCGGAAAAAAAATATCCTCCATATTTCATCGGTAACACGTGACTAAACAATGAAGCCATATGGGAGGCATATTTCGATGGTGTAAAATTTAGACGATCTTTTGTGTCCTACATGCCATTTTTGTTTCGCGATACCATTCTTCATAGAATATCAGTAATATCAATAATTATATTGAACTGTGAATTATATCGAACTGTGAGAACAATTGTTGATTATTATAGCTCTTCCTATCGGTGCGATTAATATCATTTTATGAAATGTTACGCGAACAGACTACACCATAAGACGAAATCGAAAAATACTCATACGCAAGAACGTCTTGAAGACTCGACGTCTGCGGTTGGTCACATCATAGAAGGAAAGTTTTGTTCATTAAGTAGCGTTTAATGGAAGTTAATCGCGAAACGATTAGTGGTTTAGGTCCCTTTAGACAGATTGTTGTACTGTATCCTCGGCAAACGAGCCTTTGTGCCTGCCCCAAGGTCCCCGTGTGGAGGGTCGCATAATTTCATTTTGACGTCCGACGGAGGGTCGCTGCCGTCGGGCGAACGACGATTTTCGAATTACGTCTTTCAAATTGTGTTTTGACATCGCGCATCTCTTTCTCTCTCTTCTCTCTCTCTCTCTCTCACGTTTACTTTCTCTATCCCTTTATACTACGATATACTCGAATGCCGAAGTTCAAGATAGCTTTAAAATAGCATTTAAATTAGTTTCAAATCCTCGTTCTTTCCATCTTCTATTCTTTTTCGCACAGAAAAACGTAAAAGAAATATCACCCATATATCTCTCTATTATTCTTGTTTAAATATTACATTCTTTAATTTATATTTTTAATATATTTCTACGTTTAAAATAAGAAACGAAATAATTGTTAACTGCTAACAGACAGAATAATACAATACAATATTTGAATAGTTAATAACTTGTCAGAAAATTGATTATGAGCTGCATTCTGATTTATTTTCTAGAATATTTTTTTTTTTATTCTATTGTCAATTAGGATGTTTAATGTTCGGGAGAGCGTGTAATAAAGTATCGTTAAGCCTACAAAGAAAGAGGAAAACTGATATGTCCAAATAATGCAAGGGTTGTAAAGGAGGTGAATTTTCCTCCATCGGATCACGACTGGTCATTATTAAGGGATCATCGACAAAGTGCAAAGTAGAAAAAGGATAGAAAAAGGAAGTACAGTTTTCATTGGGAGTTACCACCTGTCATTTCAATTCGATTCGACCCGAACGGCTCCGTTGCAGACAGGTAACGGTCCGCTCATTGTATTATTCGGCTATTTATCGCCTAGTGTGAACAGAACACCGCCATTATTTGCCTATAAAGGGAAACTCGAGGTGAGTTTTTCTATGAGCCGTCCCTCTTTTTCTTCTCTCTCTCTCTCTCTCTCGTTAGGAAACCTCGAGTGGTCTCGATGCGCAAACCGGATGTTGCTCCCGATGTGATTTATGAGTTCTCGGAAGACCTACCCGAACATTTTCACTATTGCTTCCCCGGGAATCCCGGGCAGCTTTCCGCATCTCGAACACGCGACCTTGCATGCGCGATGTTACCGAACGCACATCGCGCTTTTGATTCCACCTCGGTGAAAGGTATTTATCTAATGTAACCATCTAAATGACGTTGAAAGTTAATTTGAATGACTTTTAGGTCAAAGAAGCAAAATACCTGTACTCTCCTAATGCCTTTTCCATAGAACTAGCAATTGATCCCGAAAAGCATTAGAACGTCCAAGACGTTCAGTAAATGAAACAAATCCTTTACAATTAAAATTCTCTGTCTCTCTCTCTCTCTCTCGCATCTGATTCTTTTTATTATACAAGGATCAATTTATATCATTCGATTGCTGGGAAGCTATTAAAAAATACGTTTGACTCCAATTGAATACACGTCGAGTCCCTCGTATCGATAACGGAGCACGATTCCTGCGAACGACGCGCAACATTCTGACAGATTAAAGTGCTAATTCATTTGGTGCGTTATTTCAATCGAAAATCAAAATGAAATGCTTCGATAAATAGCCCGAACACGATAAATAAAACTGTCATTCTCCCGTGGAAAATCGCGCCGACCTAGATCTGTCCCCATGCGCGTGGAGGTATATCGTGTAATTATTGCGCTCTGAATGAAGTCATTAATAGTCATTACCTACGTCTAACGCTGTAATTGATATATCGTTAACGGTCAGCGATGGCTCGACCATACTGCTCTAATTCATCTTGATGAGCTCGCACAGCGGTTAAAGACTATACGTTCGAAGCGTGCACTGTCTCTAAAACGTCATACGGCGGTCACGCATTCATAAAAAATGCAAGAAAATGTTTATATAACTCTGCCACATAATCACCATGAGTACAGAGCCGCGCGTTGCGTCATTGACGATAAAACGGATCGTGTTCTCATGTTTGGCTGTTACTTTGCCATCGCGAGAAAATATGCGTAACATAAGATTTATTAACCGGAACATAATATTGCATAATTCTTTCAAATTATGCAACGCGATAAGATCGAATGAAAACTGTGCCAGAATTTCTTTGTGCGTGATGATGAATCGCACTGCTGGAAATGCCGCTATATGCATATTTCACGTGTACATACGTGGCGTTGTGATCCGGAGTTGTTATTTTACGGGAATTTATGAAATAATCACGAAGAGAACGTTTAAGAAACGTGCGCGTCAAATAATGTAAACCGCAATTTCCTCGAGAACGTCGAGAACATCGAGTGTTAATTTAATTTAACCAATCCGGAAAATGATGTTCGAATATCCAGAAAATTATTATTGCCAGCCATCAGCGAGACAAAAGGCGTTTCGCTTAGAGAAGTCGAACTTTGTTGCGTGACGGATAAAATCCAACGCGTTATTCTATCGTGATTATTTAAACAATACAAAACAGTTTAAAGAAGAGAAAAAAAATCGCTTATATTACTCTCACGATCTCTCTATATTCAACTGAAGCTATTCAACAATGGCTGCGACGGGTTACCTATCGTTACCCGACGTAATGACATTCCGTGTCTGGCCCCGAGCCACATTTTCCTGCACGTAATCCGTCGAATCTCGGGACGGAGAGTCCTCGGTTGTGTGTATCTGGATAGACGCAGGGAGATAGACAGCCTCCCGAATATCCCGCATCTCCTTTCCGAAACATCGACCGACGTACGGAATTTGATTCGCGAAATTCACGTACGATACGCCATTTATTTCACGACATTTGATGAAATGGAAGAATCATCGTTACAACACTTCGGCGATTATAACACTTTACCACGAACCTCGTCGTGTCGCTCTTAGTTCGCATTTGTCATTATTTGTTATCGGCAATACCGTTATTTGCAATTACTAATTACCAACCATATCATGTAGAAATATCATAAATAAGTAATTAGGCAGACATAGGATAATTATTTATTTATAATATTCCTATTATGCGAAATTAATATTGCGCGCGCGCGGAAACAAAACGTGGAAACCAAACTGTGATAATTTTTATTTTGGATAATTTTTAAACAAATTTATACGCTTTATTCAATTATATCCGGTATTATATGGAGGACTTTTCTCTGTAATTTTTCTCCGCATCCAATTCATATTTATATCGAAATGGCTTTTTGCGCTTTTTGTTACGTGCTTCCAATATTTAATAATTCGGTCACCGAGTACAGGTAGCATTCATTAGCCGCGACGCGGAAAAAAGCATACCATTAAAAAATTCATAAGAGATATTTTGCATCACTGGATAATGCAGTTTGTTACAATCGTTGTTAGTTCCGAAACGCTGAATAATGTAATCCACAAAAAAATAGCGGCTTTTTTTATCATTTTTCCATCTATCAGCCGTACTTTCCACTCTTTTAGGCAATTCCCTTTTTATTTTGCAAATTATGAATTCTGCACAACATCGACGAGGAAGGCATCCTGCGCGCATTGTAAAGAGCTTAATTCCCGATTGATAAAATCCGCCAACGATCAGACTGTAAAATCCCAGCGAATAAGTACATTCCGTACTAAAAATTTCACACAATTTCCCTACAGTTTTTATAGTAGTATTTCCATTGGCAAAACAAAAATTGCCATAAAATTTTTCCGATCATTTCAACGTTATCTCCGCGTCGATTTGCATCAATGTAATCGGCAATTTAGATGCGCTTCCGGGATTATTACCATCCAGGTCGTCGTTTGTGTCACATCTCAGGGCGAAGGAGCGAGATGCAAGGGCGTCCTCAAGATGCGCGTCCCAAATGTTTCATTTTCGTCACGTGTCGGCGCCCGCGAAGAACGTCGCAGCTCCCATCGTAACGAAATTCTCTCCGTGGTGCATTTTCAATTCTGACACACGGGGGTAAAGCCAGAGCGAATCTACTATGCCGCATAGTTGTTGTTGTCGTCGTCGT